TATCTTTATATCTTTACAACTGTATGTGCCCGCGTCCTAGCTCCAACTGAGCACCCTCGTCTTTGGGGCGGTTCTGGGGTAGTTTCCACCCCTCTACAACCAACCCTATGTTCTATATCCATCCCTCTCACCAAAAACATCTCTTAACTGTATAAGGAGAAGTACGATCGATGTTTTAACATCATTATTGTATATAGTGGTATGCGATTTTGGGACTTATTTTTTTCTTAAACCATATATAGATAGATTAACTTGAATTATTCTGGAAAATTTATATCATATTTTTTATTTATATATACATATTTAGTGTATTTAGTTTACGTCATAATAAAATTTTGTGATCAATTTAATTGGCTGTATATATATAGAAAATGTTATATATACAAATGAAATAAAAATATATTATATTAAGAGTAAAATCGTATTAAAAAAACGAGAGGAAACAAGGAAATTCTTCCCGGCCCCTTTACTAACACCCTTTAGCCCTGAGGCGGGACGAAAACTTGCCTTTACTGAACCAGACATTACAACGATTATACACAAATTTAAACATACATTGCTCGCTTAATATGAAACTAATATAACATTTTAAACAAACCAGCAATGGATGTGTATATTTTTGTTATATATATTAGTTAATTGGTGTATTAGTATGAGCCTGAAGCAGTTAAGATTGCCGCTTCTCGTTCTAATGACTAATTTACCCTATAATTGCCCTTGTACATATCTTTCGGGGCTGTTTTATAACTTCATTGGCTCAGAGTTACATCCCTAAAGGTTTAGGCAGCTTTTTAATTTTTTTTTATTACATTTTCGACTCGATCTGATTGATGAATGCAATTTATTACTTTCTTTTAAAGAAATTTTCTTTATAAATGATTTTAAATGTTATGGTTGGAGGATTCTCGAAATTTTGTCCGTACTTTTAGATTTTTTTTCGAATTATAAGTCCACAGAAAGTTTAAGAAAAAGAAAATATTAAGAATTATTATTATAATTTACTAAGTTACTACTAATACGTGAATATTTCTGACTTTTTAGTTTTTAAGTAATTAGTTGATAATTATTTTATTTGTTCTAATGTGTTAATCGTCTTGTGAGCAGATTCATATCAAATATACAAGTCTTAATATATATTTTCTTGAAAATATTTATTGTTATACCTATAATATTTGATTTCTAAATACGTTATTTTGCTTCCAGACTTTAAATATTCATTTACTTCTTACTAAATGGTTTTAAAGTGATACAAAACTTCATTTTAACAATTCTTTCTTTTATTCAATAATTAAACAAAATTTGGATAATAAATATGTATATTACTTATGGATTAACTGAAGAACTACGTGTGTTTTCTATTTCATATTAATGACAAATTATTAACATGTCTATATATTTTTTTATACTTAGCTTCTATTTAATAGTTTTTCATTATTTTGGAAACAAATCGATACTTTTACTAAAATTAGATCTAAGACATTCGCGAGTATTCATTTAGATAAAACGAATATTTTCGGATTTACCTACTTAGCGTTATTTTATTATTTTAAACTACATTTCCTGACGTTTCGGTTGCTTTTTAGCAACCGTGATCATTACGACAAGATGAAAAATATTACTTTTATTTATTTTCACGCTATTTTAACACAATAATTTATTATTTATTTTCTCCGATTTCACATACTATAATTAGGAAAAATCGATTCAAGTCTGTTTATTGAATATCTGTACATTTTGTTTTATAATTAAAGAAAGCTTTTAGTAATCTTTAGAAATAATTCTAATTCAGTCATTATTAAAAGTATTTAATACATTTGTTACTATTAAGTCAACACAATCTATATACAAAATTCGTTTTATTATTTACTAAAATTGTCAACTCGTAAGCTAATAACATTGGCTGTACGAGAGAACCATTTGTTGCTAATAAAAAACTATTTATTTAGATTGAAATTTTTCCTTTGGGTTTTAATAACACTATTATCGCTACTAATATTATAAATGCGAAAGTAACTCTGTCTGTTACGCTTTCACATCTATAATACTGAACTGATTTTAATGAACTTTGGTACAGAGATATACTTGACCTTGAGAAAGAACATAGGATAGTTTTTATGCCAGACTTTTGGAAGGTTCTCTTGGAAACGCGATATAACTGAACTCCACGCAGGCGAAGCTGCGGGCGGAGAACTAGTAAGAATTATTTTTAATTAATATTTATTTTCACGAATATCAAAATATTATTTATAATGTGTTCATAATATACCAAATATATTAAATTAAATTAAACAGGAATAATTTGATAGACAAATCCATTTAGTTTGAACATTTCTTTAGTATTGATCGTTTTTAATCCGATAATGCCATCTGTTATGGAGTAGTTAAACTAATTCAAAATTTGTGGACGTATGTATCAATTTTTATGTTATTGCCATCTATCGGTATTTTATTAAACTATAGATTCAAATATTCCATCTCGAAGAAATGTCTTGACGAATGTCGTTTAACGTTTATTTTATTTTTTACGTTTTGATGAACATATACATATTATTAGGTACAGTGTAATTGTTTTGAGTTTGTTATACAATGTAAGCTAAATAATTTTATATAAGTTAAATAATTTTATTCATCATCAGTCTATCAGAGCCCACTGCTGAGCCTCTTCTCACATCGAGAAGGTTTGAGCATTAATCATCACGCTTGTTCAACGGGTTGGTGATATCAAACTTATAATTTATACTTTACTTACAAAATAATGTTATCAGTCGTTAAAAAAATATTTTAAACAAAAATATGTTATATGATGCTTTTAATATTTTTACCAACATCTATGAAATCTGTTTTATGAAGTTTAAAATTTAAAAACCTTCATAGTCTCTACATTTAAGATAGGAACTTGGTTTTAGTACCGTTAATTTGTTTCAGTATGCAGAATATTTTTGTAATTTTACTTCTATATAATATATAAACATTACTATGTAATAACTATCACATAAAATTCGTTTACATTGCATATTTGTTAAAGATCACAAATGATCAATTAGTTATTAGTTAATAATGAATAAATAATAATTTACATTAGATGTTTATAATATATTAGATGAAATGTTAACTGAAATTGTATATATAATACATTAGTCTCATCGTTTTATCCTACATATGAATAAAACAAACTGCACATCACCTTAAAAGCTACTTATAAAAATTTTACATAATTAACAAAAAAATCTATACAAGTAAAAGCCATTTCTGTTCAAAATACTTTATTCTCAACAATATTATTTATAAAACATTCTTCCAACTACTATTATATACATTTCCACACCCGGCATTTGTTACAGAAACATTTACCACTTCAGCCGAGTGTGGTTATAAAATAGTTCAAATTCACCGCAGCTTCAAGCAACTATCAACCCTATATTTGGGTAAATAACTATTTACATAATTCGTTCATTCGTAGTATATAAGCATTATATATATCGGAAAAAATGCAACGTTAGACCAATTTAGACAAAAAAAGAATCTTAAACAAATAGATTGTACTAATATTTTTAAGAGTATTCAAAACAATATAACAGAAAATGTTGAAACTGATTTCTTTCAACATATATGAGTAATTTACTGTCTAAAAAAAAGTATTTTCTTGATATAACAATGTAATTTATTAATTTGACAATTTAAAAACATAAGCGGTTAATTTACAATGAAAAACATTTCTTTCAACATAACATCGGACATGGTATTAAAACTAAAATATTAATAATAATAATCAGCTGCTAGAAAGAAGGTTAAAATTACAAAAAAGTTTATATATAAGCTTAAAAAATAAATACCCAGCTACATTGACTAGGAAATACGAAAATAATATTATCTTATGTCAATGAAACAAATGGATATGATATATCTACTATTTTTCCATGGTTTAATATTTTTCAGAGCCTACGCTAGTTCAATATATATATATACATATATATCTATCAATTCCTGTGTATGTATATATGGTAGTTAGCAAAAAATATTCCAAAAAGCTACAAAACTAAGCAGTCTATGATAGCAGTCTCAGACCTATATTCTATCTGTATAAGAAAGCGATTGTTTTTGTTCCCTAGACTGTATTCTTTTAAAAACTATTTATAGAATAATCTAGAATTACTAGATTATAAGCCATACAGCTGCTATTGTATTAATTGTTAATAGGAACAGAAAAATTTTGGCACTAGCTTAAATTTTGGAAGCGTTTTATATCTATATATGGACGTGTGATACATTCTGCCTTTTTTTTCATATAATCTATTGTATGGAACTTTTTAGATAGTACATTGATAAATAGATTGTGATAAAATTATCAGTTACATAGTTATATATATATCTATTGGACAAATTTAGTATTAAAAATCCATTATACCTATATATATAAAATACCTATATATAACAATCAACAAACAATTATGTATTATTTGTTTTTAAAGTACAATATTATATATAAATATATACTAAGTTATGTTTTAGTTAACAATTATACAGGGTAACATTTTTGTGTACGATTACAGAAAAAGAAAATTCGATTCAAGTTGCTATAAATTTATTGTAATTAAAAAACAAGAGCCTCTGAAATTACGACGAACTATATAATTACATGGAATATGTAAAAAAATATGCTTAAAATTCATTCGTCTGGCAGTATGTGTATTGGTTTCCGAAATAATTAAAAAAAAAAACTGTACTGGTAAGTAAAGAGGTAGTATCGATAACCGTATACATACACTAAAACTAAACAATTAATATATACAAATTTACGAAAAATGTACTAAACAATCAAATAAAGGTACGCTTGTGAGCATTACAAAAAAAAAACATAGAAAAGTAACAGAAAAATGTCTTTTTTGACAGCTGTCAGATTGACGTCTGTCAGTTTTGGCGCGAATCCGTCACACGACTGACATGAGCAACGAATCGGTGACCGGGTGAATGAAAACATGGGGACCAAAATAAAGCAATCGTCAAGCATCGTCTTGGCGGGATTTGTCGCCTTTCCTTTTATTTAATTTCTTTTTTATATCTAACAACATCTGCTCGAACGACATGTCTTCGTTACGTCTGACCGGCATCGCGGCTTGGCCGTGGAAAGCGCTTTCCGTATACTTCGCTTCTAAACCATCTGTTAAAAACACAACACTAATAACATTTGTCCGGTCAAATAATGTTTAATCAACTCAAAGTATAGGAAATTCGAATAAACGCGGAAGCGGAAAAAGCAATGCCAAATGAATGTCAGTTTTGGCCATAGAACCTCAGATAGGACCTTCAAAAATAATTAATTGCTGAACTTATTTAAATTCGGATAAAATAAATATTTTTGCAAAAAAAAGTTTGAATTCATCACAAAAATAATACTGGCTGAAAACAATGTCATATAAAATGCTGAAAAAAAAACAATGAATGGGACCTATTTTTTTTTTTGTTATACTCACCAAGGTCAGCATAACTCTGCCTGCAGAAAGCTCTTCTGCCGCCGAAGCCAACGTCGTATTGAGGAAATGAAGAAGCGGCTTCTACAGCGGACCAAGCGTCACGAGGACGTTGGAACGTCACGAAACCGTAGCGAGAACTGAAAAAACGTTGAAATGATTGTATTACTACTCATACTAAGTTCTTATAGAACCTTGATTTTATAATTTTTGGTACTTTGGACCACATTCAAAGTTATTTAGAATATTATAACTGATAAAGTCAAATAAATATTTAGAATAGAGAATAATGACACAAATATTTTTTTTATTATTTGAATGTATTTCACATCTCGTCTGCCCGTGATCACAGTTGCTGAAAAATAACCGAAACGTCAGGAGTATGTAGTTTTTAATTATAAAAAACGCGTAGTAATCCGACAAATATTAGTCTCATTTAAATGAATACTCACGAAAGTCTCAGATCTCATTTATCCCTACTAATAATATAAATGCGAAAGTAACTCTGTCTGTCTGTTACGCTTTCATGCCTAAACCACTGAACTGATTTTAATGAAATTTGGTACAGATATAGAGTTGACCTTGAGAAAGAACATAGGATGGTTTTTATCTCAGACTTAAAAGTTTCTCTAGGAAACTTTTATAACCGACCTCCACGAAGCTGCGGGCGGAAAGCTAGAATACAATAATACAAAGCCTTACGAACTTCAAGTGTTAAATTAAGCATATGTGTATATTAGTTTTTAGGATTTTTAAGTTTTCTTACCCGTCTTCCTTAGAGTGTAATCTAACTTCTGTGACCGGCCCAAACTTGGTGAATTGAGCCCTAAGAGCTGCCTTCGTTAAATCTTTCTCTAATCTACCGACGAAAACTATTCGCCTCTCCTCAACTGGAGTATTGCTTTCTCTGTGAAAAGACAATCAATTTTTAATATACAAAGGTATGAATTAATAGGTTTCTACTCTCAGGTAAAGGTAAAACCAATCTAGATGGCCAAAACTTCATACCTGTCTTCCGAACTAAATGAATTTCTGTAGTTCTTTCTGAAATTCTCATCCTTCTTGTAAGGACTGCAAGAAGATCGAGACTTGATAGACGCTGATGAAGCGCCAGATGAAGAACTAAAAATGTGAATTAATTTAGAATATATCCTAAATTTAACAATTCTCAGATCCATGTAAAGAATTTGGTGTTTTTTTCATATAAGTCATACCTGGAAGATGAAGAATCAGAACTTTCAGAGACAGTTGGTTTTCTTAGTGGAGGTGTTAGTGATCTTGTTGGTTTTTCAATAGTTCTTTGTGGACTGACCCGTTTTTTAGGTATGGGGCTTTTAGATTTCTTCTCTGTGTGTTTCGATCTTGATCGAGTTCGCGTCGAACGATAATCTTTTCGAACGGACGGTGAACGTCTTGTCGATCGATATGGTGATCTCGTTCGGGATCTTCTTTTCCTTCTGTACGGAGAGTCTGATCGTCTATATCTTCTGAATCTTCCTCTAGATCGGGACCTATTTCGACTGTTTGATCTTTTCCTTCTATGTCCCCGTGAGTGTGATCTTGAACGCCTATATTTCACATCATATCGATCAGTGGACCTACATCTCTTCTCTTTTGACTGTGATCTAGGAACATCTCGTCTATCTTGTCTTGATTTGGTCGGAGATAATTTTTCGTCTTTCGTTGTCAACACATGCTGTTTTTTTGCACGAACAGGACTGCTGTCACTGGACATTGACATGTCACTGTCATTTCTTTTCCTCGTTGAAGGGCTACTCTCCTTTTCTACTTTATCTTTGATTACGCCGATTTCAGAAAGTGAATCAGTTTGAACTTCGATATTAACTTGATCGGGTTTTTTACGATTTTTCTCTAAATGTAGAATGATTTTGTCCTCGCCGTGATCATTATTAATATCATATTGTCGCACTATACTTGTTTTATATTTATGGTGTACATCACGTTTTTCTACTGAGCCATGTTTCGGGGATTTTTCACCTTTAGTAATATCAGCAGTTGGAGCATTCTTCATAACAACATCTTGTATACTAGCAAATAATGAATTGCTAGAAATTTTCGTATCCACTTGTTTTTCTACACTCTTTAATGTCGCTGTGATATCTTTAAGCCTCTCCTTATCGATTTTAACTTCTGAATGATTTTTCTCATTGATAGGACTCTTGCTTCGTTTAACTGTATCGAATACATTTTGTTTCAGTACAGGATCAGATTTTTTGATCTTAAAGTTGATTGTTAATTTGTTTTCATGTTTAGGTGAAGAGGATTTTCGCTTCTTGCTCTCAATAACCTTTTCTATTTTGAACATATTCTCATCAGTATTTGTACCGATACTAACGAGTACAATTTCGTCATGATCTTTTAGTTGAACTTTATCTTCGACAATTGTTTGGTTTTGTGGTACAATGGGCACGGGAAGCAATTTGGGTGTCATGCCAACTATTTTCATCATTTCCGCGTCACTTATAAGGGGTTGTAGTTCTAAGTTTTCTACTTTAGGTATTTTGCTCATAACAATATCTTCATCTCTCTTCCTCATGGCTTCGGCCTTCTGCTTTTTGGAATTCATGAGTATTTTTCTGGAAGCTTCTCTTATAGGATCAAAGATTGTTTTTGGGGCTTCAGAAATTAAAGGTTCTTTTGGTGCCAAAACAACGTCATTGGTTGTTTGATTGTTTACTACCCTTAAATTCTTATCAAGATTTATATTGCATGGAATATCTGGGAATATAGCTTCCGGGCTGACTTGGGCTGAGCTGGCGTTTGAACTAACATTTCGCCTCAATTTGTACTCTTGGAGATTCAGTTTTTTCTTCTTCTGCGGTTGTTCCAAATCATTTATACTCTCAGCCTGTGTTTGCTCATCTTTAACGTTATTCTCGGATTTTATTTGGGGAATCTCAACATCTTGTTTATCATTAATTAGCGCAGTGTAAAAATGTTCTTTAGAATTGACATCCTGTTTCGCGTTTACATAATGTTTCTCTACCCTATTTAAGTCTTTCGTTTTGTTCCTATCTAAAGTATCTATGCCTTTATTAGAATTATTTATATTGTTCAAAAATCTATTAGCACTTACACCTAATTTATTTTTATCAACATTGTCCTTACGATTGTCCTTAAAATCACAGTTCTTGATAATAACCTCAGATTTATTTTTTATCGTTAACTTAATGCTACCGTTACAATTTTGACTACATGAAGTATCACTTGCTTTAAAAGCATTTTTCACCATCACAGAACCGTTATCTTTGTCAACATCACAATCATTCACACTACGCGGCGGCGACAGTTTCTTACGATGATTAGAATTAGCTGTTGCCTTAACACTTAGTTTTATATTAGATTTTTTATTATTCTTAACAAAAACATTATCATCAACACGATTGTTATTAAGTATTTTATTTTTCTTAGCCGTATTAGCATCACTCTCGTCGTCACTGCTGAGGTGATAGATAACTTTTTTATTTTTACACGATCTATGTCTCGAGCTGAGTATTTTGTTATTGCTTGATAGGACTTCCGGTTTGAGGAGACTCTGACCGCCCTTGAGGTTTGGGAGGCTGAGTCGTTTCTTGGATGAGCAATAATCATGATCAGAGTGAATCGGACTTGGTGAACGTCGCATCACAGTGTTAATGGGCGACGGCATCTGTAAACGTTGTCAATAAAAGGATAATAATCTCTTTAAATGGACCTGAGAATTACCCAAAGTACGCAATACTTACCAATATTTGTCGCATCTTCGTTTTATTCAATTGAACACCGGCGTCTTGCAGTCTCATGCCACTAGTTATGCTTATTGTCTTTGTTTTAGAATCACTGACATTCACTGATGGTTTTCTACGTTTGTTTAATTTTTCTGTCGCCTCAAACTGTTCTAGGAGCGAATTGAGATTATTTGCTTCTAGGACGGGTATGACAGCGTCATTGCACGATTCGACATCCACGAAATCATCTGTCTCAACTTTTATATCTGGTTCTTTTTTCACGGCGACTTTCTCTATGCAGAATTCTAGTACATTAGGTTTTGGGATGGGTGTTGATGTGCATTTTCTGTCTGGAAGTATTACGGTTTGAACGTCTCCGTTGCTTATAATAGCATCCAGAGGTCTATCTATTTCCATATCTTGGGGAGAGCAATCATCTACAACTTCTTTAGACTCTGTTTGATTCGTTATCAGAAAGCTATTTACGTCTTCCTCAGTCAAGGTCCTTGGCATATCATCACTCCTTAAACTAGTACTCGATTTCTCTTTCTCATTTTCGAAAGTGAGATCAGATAGATCTAGATTAAGATCTTCGAAACTTAAACAAGTTTTAGAATCTATATCCAATATATTGTGCATCGGTGAATGTGGTAGAGAGACGGAGTATGATTTTTGTACGTTCTTCAGTTTAGTGTAAGGCAAATCGTCCAAGAGATATCGTTTTAAATCTTCTATATTAGGAAGAACTTCTAGATCTGATTCATTTATGGATACATCAGCCACTGAACCTTCTTGTGGCTCGACTGTTTCTGGTTCTTTAACTTCAACAGTCGGTTCAGCTTCAAAGATCTCATCTGGCACAGTTTTGGATATCCGGAAATCCGTTTCAGGTAATTTGCTTTTAACTAAAAGTTCTTCCACGATCGTAGGTGGTGGGATCGTTGGCATATCTTTAGTGTCTTTGATGAAATATTCATCAACATCGTTGACGACCGGCTCATCTTTAACTTCCAATATATGTTTCTCATCATTTTGTTTTATAAAATATTCATCGACATTTGAAACGACCGGTGCATCGAAATTTAACTCAAGACTCTCTTGGGATATACTTTTTGGGAGACTTCCTTTGCTAAACTGGTTGTTACTTGTTTCATATTGTATTTTATCTTCAGGATTGATGTATTCCCCTTCATCTGATGTGTTTTCTTCATCTGGAATACAAAAATCCTCCTGTTCTTCATCCGATGAACACTCAAGGTCTAAATCTGGATCGACAGCAAACACTTGGATGATGTCATAATCATCACCTTCGACTAATGAATTTTCTTCCATATTATCAGCGTCTAACTGACCATCGGTTTCTGAATTATTATCATCTATAGATACCTCCTGTACTTCAATATTTTCATCACCATCTATACTTATATCTTGATTCGACTGTGTTATATTTACCTGAAAATAATAATTTATTTCAAGGACATATAATAAAACATAATTACTGTCTAAATAATACAATTTAATTTTAATAGTATTTGAAGCAATTGTGATTATTTTTTAATACATAATGTCGAGACTAATAAGAAATATATTGAATAATTTCTTCTATTTACTATATATACCTGAGAAATATAAAATAAACATTCTAGACAAACCTAAGATTGAATCCTACTAATATTATAATTGCGAAAGTTTGTGAGTGTGTGTGTATGTTTGTGACTTCTTCACGCTCAAACGGCTGAGCCGATTTTGATAAAATTTTGTATACAAGAAGCTGACGTTCAGGAATAACACATAGGCTGCTTTACATCCCGGAAATCCGCGGGGCGCAGCTAGTTCCGTAATAAATACAGTTCAGTATGTAATTAATATGATTTTAATAAAATAATATATCACCTGCCATTATTCACTCACATTCTGATTTTGACTCCAAACCTGAGTATTTCTTGTCCAATACATTTCATTATCATCGGCCCGTTGTTCTGGGCTGTTCTGATTACAACTGCCTTCCGACGACAAAGACTCACTTATTGAACGGAGTATATTATGACCAATATTCCTATAAGGGGCCTGGTGATACATATTCAGAATATGTGACTCCATTTCTGAAATATAAAAAAGAAAGTAAAGTTATAATATTTAATCATAAATGATCAAATTGTTTCGAATGATGTGTATTTCATATATTGTCTGTCCATGATCATGGTTGGTTCAAAGTAACCGAAACATTAGTATGTAATTTTTAAAAATTATACAATATAAGTAGTCTGAAAATATTAATTTCATTTAAGATGTATATACCGTTCAATAAAAAAAAATGTCTTAATTGGTAATAAGGAAAGATATTTTAAAATATTATAAAATATATCTAAATTTATAAAAATAATTATTACATCAGAATAAAAAGAAATTAATGTTATCTTAATTTCATAAACCACAAAAGAAAATAATCTACTATGTTGCTTGATAATGAAGTTGTAGTTTAAATTACTTTAATCACCTCATCTACATAGTTATATATATTTAAATGTATATATATACAATTATGTAACATATATAAGATCTCATAACACTAACATAATATAACTTAATCATCTCAAATGAGTAAACAGTGTCGTAAAGTATATTAAAACAACACTTGGTGTTTTAATATTAATTATCATGACTTAGAAATGTATACATAATAATATAATTTCTCTTATTTAATGACCACTTCGATAATTATAAATAAATTGTTAAATTTCTATAAATATTAAGTCTATTTAAACTTAATACAAAATTAAGATGTAACCTCTTTGCTTGAATGACAGTGAAATTAAAAAAAATGTCAACAAACAGCTGTGAAAAATTAAACTGACAAATTAAAATAATAACAAAAATATAGAAAAATATATAAAATACAAAAAAAAAACTTTTAGTGTTATAGAGGAATGTGAAGAGAATTATAAAAGGTACATATATATATGTTAATGTATTTTAATAGTAAGTAATATTTAGTAGTAAAAATTTTATTTCAATATAATTATAATGTAATTTAAATCTTTGTTTGGAAAACATTGATTAGTCAATATTAATTTCAACAAACAATAATCTTACTTTATTTACCCGAAAAGATGCTCACTTAAACATAAAAAATGCCCCTTAAATTTAAATCATCTCATAAAAAACTAGGAAAAACCTTTTTATATATATTAATGTTAATAAAAGTATTTAACAATACTAATAAATAAATAATGTTTTGGTATGTTTCCTTAAAAAACACCACATGCTCAATTACATATACACAAACATAAACAATTCACTCTTTAATGTAAAAAGAACTTAAATAACAAGCAAATATATACTTACTACCAATATGGAGGAAAAGAAAATGTTTATTATATAAAGAAATGTATTTCAATTTAACCTCCACAAGTCACATGTGCTGTGTTTATTATTTAAAGTAATTAAAACAAACATTAGTCTAACTCTTTGTTACTCATGAAATCCTTTTTTTTTATAAACTATCGCGTATTATTTAGAAAAAATGCAAATCCCTTATCAATGTGTGTCGTATCACGATGACGGGAGATACCGCGTCTAAAATAGATTTAGTAAACGTCAAAATCGAAAACAATCTCGAAATCATGTGACAAACACATGCATCAATACCAAAAATCACCACGACCAGACCTTATTTACGCTTTGTTACATTCAGATAACGGTATAATAGCAGAAAAAAACCATGCAAAAACTGACCATACAATTTAGGTTAGGTCCGAAAACGCAATGAATTTCTCAACTTTTTGTTGTAGATAGCTGTAAAACGATATATTTAAATGTTGTATAATTTAATGTAGATATGTAAAAACGTATTTAAATTTATTATGTAAAGCAAAACAAACACTGCAACTGTGACAAAACGCGCGCACTCGATCCTAACCTTGATAAAGAAAAAAGCCTGATAGAGTTTCTAGTTCAAGGTCCCATGAAAAACTGAAGAGTCACATGAAGTCGTTACACAAACAAAAATGTAATATCACTGCAGCCGCACTGAAATCTATTTTAAGACAAACAACAGACGAAAAAATTGACTAACCTTAACACCCTCAGGTAACGGCTTTATCCATGTAATTTTATTATGGAACAATATCACTACATACACTGTACACCGGTTTTTTATCACTAGAATATATATTTATATAACACTTTGAGGCACTATACAGACCAATACTTTTATAATTTTCGTTAAAATTAACACTTTTTACGAAACATCACATGCTACAAACTTCACGCACGACAGCAAATTTTTATTTACGATGTTGCCATAACAAATAATATTGACAGCTATCGCTGTCACTTTGTAAAGAAGTCACGACATTATCATTACAACTACATATATTATTAATTATATTTAAATAGTTTCATCTAAATAAATAAATACAAATATTTTAAAACTTTTCGTAAAACACAATGTTATTCTTTTAAAAAATATATATATTTGTATATTATATTTAGAAATTAACATTTAACATATAAACAAAAGCATGCTTTAACATAAACCATTTAATCAATTTATTACTACTAAATTCCCCTTTGTATTTTAAATAATGAGCATATTATATAAAGTTTAAATTGACAGTACTTTTTATGTAAAACGAAATATCGGTCAAGTTAACACATGCCAACCACGTACAGCGATTTAAACTACGTCATTTTCAGGTGACGCAGTAAGCGTTTAATGATTTGGACCTAATTTGCAAGACCTAAACCGTCAGAGTAACACTTATTTAGCAACGTGTTACTTTTTGTTCATGTTTGTAAATTATTTTATTGTCGATGGAGAAAATTTCGTTTGGTATTCTTTTCAAATTGAGTTTCATCTAAAATTATAATGCTAAATATAGTTTTAAATAGCTTCGGAAACCAACGAAATACATTTTATTCTATGTAAAGAATGAGCTTAACATTATTTTTACTCCTCAACTGTGTAATTTAAGAATATTTTTATAATCTATACTTAAAAATATTAGTAAGAGAGTAATCTTACTTTCGTAATAGTTATAGATCATAATAGGTTTTTATTAAATTCAAAATTGACGTTAGTTATTAGTGTAAATTATTTATCATCCCACATATTAAAGATATAATTATACATAAGAAGCAAGTGATTTTATATTTCATAATATATTTTGTATAGTGTCATACCATTCCATAAAACCTAACTTTGCAAGGAGTATGTTGTAAATAGTTTTTAATAATAAGCTCGATGGGTCAGTGATAGATTGTATTAAGACGACTAATAATTTCACCAGCAACATTTATACTCTAGTTTTCACTTTTAAAATATTAATATCATTCCACAGTCTAAATAAATATATGTAGTTTGTTCAATGAGTAATGATTAAGACTAAGACTTACAATGAAATGGAGTAATACGGCCAGTTACCAGAACACGTCCAATTTTAGTTTTGTACCTACGAATTAAATGCTTTATTTTTTTTATAAAACGTCAATAAACCAAATAATTCATCTACTTATATTGTATCATCTTATATATTTGGAGTTTCTAAAAGGTACTGTTTCTATCACTATTACACATTACTCTATTACTGTTTAGCAAATGTTTTATAGATATCTGGTTCCTTAATAAATTTACAATTATGTCTGAAATTTAAATCTACACTATGATTAGTATATTAAATCAAAAATATACATTAAGGAAAGGGAGTAGTAATGAGTATTTATAAAAGACTAGTTTTTGCTTGCAACTTCGTCCACAGTAACTTCGGTATTAGTAATATGTACAGCTGACCGGGCGAACTCTATTCCGCCTTAGAGACCATCAATAACCAGACATTGGAATAAGTTTTGATCTTTTTACGATCGAACAAAAATAAATATCCTATGCCCATCTCCTGGTTCTAAGCTATCTCTCCACCAATTTTCATCTAAACCTGTACAGCTATTCTTGAGTTATAAATAGTATAACTAACACGACTTTCCTTTATATATATAGATGTCTCGACGTTCAAGTCGCGTCACCGTCGGAAGTACAGAAGTTCTTGAAGTCATACGAGAGGAAACTTCAGCCCCGTCCTCAATAAACATAGATGATACAAAGGAAAGTGAAGATATTGAACCGAAAATTTGTCCTTGTGAAGGTAATATGGAGTTTCAGGTCTTAAACATATGACAGTTGAATTATAAAATCAATATTTAAATGTAACTAATATTATTGGGATTTATGCGTACTTTATTATTCAACAAAACTACGTACTCCCGATATTTCGGTTACTTTCAGCAACCGTGATCACGGCAGACAAGATCACATTAAAAACAATATTTTTACCAATTATTCAAACGAAAAAAGATCATTATTTGAACTTTGTATCTTACCTAAGTCTCATGGCTCATTTGATTAGTCTAGTAATGTATATGTAACCATCGCATAATTCCCTTCTTTTCCTCTTGCCATCATATAAAGAACGTAACATTTATTTCAACATATTTCTTGGTTATTTTATAATAGTTTCTTTCAGGAATTGATCTCGAAGAAATAGAAAAGAGACATGCAGAAGAAATAGAAAGATTACTGACTGCGAAAGAAAATGAATTGGAAGAAAAATTCAAACAGAAACTACATAATGAAATACAATATTTGAAAGAAAGATTTGGTTTTGTATTGCAGTAAGTAATAGATATTTCTGTAATTCGTAGCAAAAATATCATGTATTTAATACATATGAAAAAACTAGCTTTCCACCGGCAGCTTCGCCCGTGTGGAGTTCGGTTTTATCGCGTTTCCAAGAGAACCTTTCAAAAGTCTGGGATAAAAACTGTCCTATTTTCTTTCTCAAGATCAACTCCATCTCTGTACTAAATTCCATTTAAATCAGTTCAGTGGTCTAGGCGTGAAAGCGTAACAGACTGACAGAGATACTTTCGCATTTATAATATTAGTAGGGATAATATTCAAAACAAAATATTCTATTTTAATCCGTGCACAAAGCCGTTATATTTTTAAATTAAATTAATAAACAATATGATTTCGCCATAGTTTTACTTTTCTGACACTATACGGCCAGTGTTGCCAGTTCAATAAATTTATTTACCCAGAAATGAGCAAGTCCGTGCGTCATACATGTTGCGTGAGGCGCACAGAGAAAGGCAGGAGAAAATATCAGCTTTGCAAACGCAGCTCGAGTGTAAAAATATGGCGGGTTTAATGTATGTAATGTGCTCTGAGCGTAGGAAGAGTAAGATGGAGATAATGAGACTTACTGAAGGTATGTGTACATAGTTACTTGTTGATTAGAATTACCAGTATGATTAATATTTAATAGCATTTTGAACCAGGGTAGTTTTATGATAAATTTATAGAAGTCTTTGATATACTGAAAGCAAAGCGTCTGCTAAGAATATTGTATTCTATATACATATTGTGGCAACACTTTTAAGGAATAATATTTGTTATTTTACAAACGAATATCCTCATTAACACAAATACGTGTAATTGGTTGTTTATTTTTTAATTATTCTTATTATCTCTCGGTGAATCTTTTATTAATGAATTTTCAAATGATATTGAAATAAAATGAACCATACTGACAACAACTAACAGTTAACGTAAGAACATTATAGACTATAAATATAATGAGTTACATAGATTATATGTCACAGAATATGCTAAAATAATTGAAAAAATAATAATAATAAATTCATTTATCTTCGAATCCAGTGTTTTAATTCGATCAATCATACCTATTAATGTCATATATATTCTCAATAAATTTCCACAGAATACGTAAACTACATCGAAACCCTTCAGAACATTCTAGAAGAAAGCCAGGCTCTCATTCTGAACCTCTCCCGCGGGTACAAGACAGCGGCGAGGGTCGATGATGAGTGGAGACGAAAAATGAGGAAAATACTAAAACATGTTACGTTACATTTAATTACTTAAAGGGATATAATTTGTTTTTATAAAAAATTGGTTGTTTGTAAAGTAGGTTTACGATCGAGATGTTTACGTGATAACGTCTTATTGGTGATATAAGTTTTTGGGAAGTAAGGAATTAATGAAGATAACAATTTTTTCAAATTTTAAATTACATCTATCGTTTTCAAAGAAAACTTAACCGCACGAGAAAATCTCCATTCGTTTGTATGCCGCTAGAGTGACAAGGACGGAAGATCGGTCCACTCACTCGAACGCTATGCCTGCCTCCGCTCGTGAGGATTCCGCGTGACAAGTTTCACGGAATGACTGGCAGGGCTCGAGATGAGACGGGAGATCGTGAGGTTTTGGTGTGACACAAGTTTCTGACGTTGTCACCCGACTAAAACGATTTTAAAGACGTTATCACGTCAAAAATATCTTAAGTTCGTTACAGAAACTAGTAAATATAGTTAGACGTTGGTATGAAACAGAATAACAAAGCACATTAGAAATTCAAGTGGTCCAATTTCTTTGACATAAGTATCTACCGATTTATATGTAACAATATAATATATGTATGTATAACTTGTTTTTACTCGCGACTCCGTCTGAGTAAAGAAAAATAATGATAAAAGTTTTAATCCCCGCATGCGAAACGTTTGACACTCTGGCGCGATAACGCTTAATCTTTGTATCGAGATAAAAGCTAGCCTAAGTTACTCTTAATCACTTCAGCTACCTGACAGTAAAGGTCCCGTCAAAATCGGCATAGCCATTTCTGAGATTAACCGAAACAAACATATAGACAGACAGACAACAATTAAATAAAATGTATATAGGTATATGTACCATATGTATATTCATATACATGTATGTAGTAAGAAACGGTAATTTCAATACAATAAACACACACTTCAATATTATTTATTTATATGTATAGATGTAGTGGTGTAAAATTGTAGAGACAACATTAAAAATTGCTTTTTGTGTAAACTAATCCCATAAACTTCCATTAATATAATATCTATTCAATTAATTACACAAAGAGATTATAAGTTATATTAAATTGACGCTTAGATTGAAAATATAATTGACCGAATAAGGAGGCATACATAGCCAATTTTGGGTACAGTCCTATATACGTGTAAAACATCTTGGAAATCTAATTATTTTAATATTCCTAGCATAAAGCCTTGAAAAATTTCAACAAATCAATCTACCTTCTACTATATCAAAGCAATGTTACTTATAAGCAAATCGAATGATATTATACATAAGAAAATTCGAGATACAGTTTTAGACTTGATTTTTTAAACCAGTATTTATAGTTTTGTCATTGTAAATGTTGCCATTAAAAAAATCACAATGGTTCAGTATTATAATTAATTATAATGTGATAAAAATAATTATAAAGATTTTAGTATATTATAATTACTACAGCAAGGATGTTGAAAATTGTAACAATATTAAATAGTCTATTGCGTTGTAAAATAAACATAAAAAATATTCTGGCAGCGGTGGGATTCGAACCCACGCCTCCGAAGAGACTGGTGCCTTAAACCAGCGCCTTAGACCGCTCGGCCACGCTACCACATACACACATGTCGAAAATAACGATGGGGATTAAGATTGAATAAAAAAACTATTTTTGTAACAATATAGGTCAAAATTTTGTTACATAATTCCCGAACAACTTTTATATATTTAGATTGTTATAAATTATAATTAATACTTTTATGAGAGTAATATATGGTATCAACCCTAATTGCTTTACATCTGAACTTCGGAAATTAATTTAGATTAAATATCTTTTTTTTTTAACGACGTATGCATTTATAAGGTTTGGTACTATTTACAGTTGGGACTAAAAATAGCTCATAGGTAAAATATAGAAAGCGTGATAATTAACAGTATGAACATTTTCGTTTAATATCATTCAATAACTCTATATTTAGATAAGCCTATATTTTTATTTACATAAATGCTGGAATCCATAAACTATTGTTACAGTTTCAATCATTCGTATTTGACTTTATCGGTGACACCCCTGAGAATAACCAATACTTCTTCAATATACCGGAGCTATTGAAAACGAAAACTTCAATCAAGGACAACCCTGAAGAAGATCCTTGTGAGAATGAAGATGAAGAATCTGAACCGAGTTAGTTTTAAAATATAGATAAAAAAGTTTTATTACTTTGTGGTTTATACGTCAAAGAGATTGACAGATCTTTGACAGTGACAGTTATGTTTGATATTGACTAAAGACAATATACAGGGTGACTGGTGAATTACTATCAATATTTAAGGAGCATACTCGGTACATGATTCTCATTCGAATTATGTAAAAGAAATAGGTACTTAATTTTTGACCAAATTTCCGTATAAATAAATTAAGTGTGAACACGTTCCAAGTGTTCCAAGTGTGGACGCGTGCGGCGGCGTGCTGATACAACACCACGCCGCTGCACGCGTATATGTGAGTGTGTGTGTATACTTAATCTGTAGGGTGTTCACACGATGCGTAATTAATTACATAACTTTTGGTTAACTTTACTTAGAAGTTTATTAATATTTATGTTATATTAATTTTTATTTTGTCATATATGATCGTCAAATATCACGTATCGATAGTAATTCACCAGTCACCCTGTAGAGTGGAACTATTTAAAAGCGTTTTTAACTGGTTGTTTTTGTTGTGGCTTTTTCTTCACAAACTTCTCCACAAGTTAATTTAATTGTTTCACTGTAACTACCATGATTATTTTACTAAATGAAATACGGTTATCGAAGTTCCAAAGTATATTAATGAAATTACCAAGTTGCTTAACAAAAATCTTGGCAGCGGTGGGATTCGAACCCACGCCTCCGAAGAGACTGGTGCCTTAAACCAGCGCCTTAGACCGCTCGGCCACGCTACCATTATAATTAGGATCTGAAAACGCTCATACAGATAATTAGGGCAATATATCTATCAATAGAATATATCTGTACTAAAAGAGCAAAAATTTTGCAAAAACAACGTCTTGAAACAGCTTAGGTTATATACCTAAAACAACAGATAAAAAAAATCTAGTGAATTTTAATCGAAGTAAATTTAAACCATCAATAAGTGCTGCACCCACAACGCTTCTAACTTAATAATATGCTTCAGAAATAGAACGTGAAAAGGAATGGTGGGAGACACTCGATTGTGAGGAACATCCGTTTGTAATGTTCGGTGATATGGCTGACTTTAAACCACCACAGCGAAGAGAAGTACTTAGGAATGTAAAAGCTGCTAAAACAGCTCCTAAGAAATGGAAAGAATACGGTAGGATTAATACCAACATTTATTATGAAGGAAAATAGCTTTAAAACCGCTTAATGGTCTTTAAAATTAGATTTACATGTATTGCCTTGTATTCTTAGCTTTTTTTAATTTGTTTTTTTGTTGTTTTAAAACAGCTTATACTCCCTAAAAGTAGATCTCCCTATAAGCCTCTATTCTTAGTTTCGTTAAGAATGTTATTTAAATAGAAATAGCATCACCCAAAAACAAATATTTCCGGTTCCTCATTTAATTGGACATGATAATGATAAAAAATAGATTATATATTTTATATGTATTTATATAGCTAAGTAGAAAGATTGTGGTAATATTATCTCCTAAACAATATATATTATTTAAATAGACATATTGTCGTTGATTATAGACGTAGAATATTAATTAATTATTATACTATCTGTTGCTTGCGATCTCAAAAACCGAGAGTCCTAGCCTGAGTCTTATTTGATAAAATTTATTATAAATCATATATATAAATATTTGGTAATTACGATTTATAATAGTTATTGATAAAAGAAACACACAGTTTGTCTCCTTTCTTATAATTCTTTAAGCTCTTTTATATATAGTGTTATAGATATATTAGTAAATGATTATCATTATAACTCGTCCTTATTCAATGTATATATTGAGATCTATGATTAATTATCGAGAGTATTTATTGAAATAAAACTAATATTTGTCGCATTACTACGCGTTTATAATTATTTCTACATACTCCCGAAATTTCGGTTACTTTGCAGCAACCGTGATCACGGGCAGACAAGGTTTCGTCTCATTTTATTTCAAATTAAATATCTTTTAAAACTAAATTGATTTAGTGTTATGAGATCTAAGACTTTCGAGTATTAATTTTTACGAGAATTACTACGCGTATTGTATTATTTTTAACTAAGTACATACTGATAAACGAGTAGTAATCCAAATTTAGTATATTTAATGTTAAAATATTTAATTCCCATATAGTTTTCAACGAAATGTTCATTAAACGTGAATGTACGAATGCCGATATCATCAAGGATGTGTGGTGTGCGCCCGCGTCATGGGAATGTGCGGTCGCTTCTAGACAGACACCATCAAGATGTGTTAGTATTACAGACAAAACCATGAAACAAAGCATAGCTTATAACTAAAGTAGTATAGGTTTATCATAAGAATAGTTATACAGTAACTTCAAAGGAAATAAGTTTTACGTGAAGAGGTAAAAGTTAACATGTATTTATAGGCTAACCTGTAGGATGTTTAAAAGTTTATTAGAGAAGTTTACCAGATTTATCGCGTACAAAACCAAAATTACATAAAAAGTTGTATAAAAGTCAACAAAGAAAATATTTTTGAAAACTATTAAAAATGTATAAAATATAAGGTTTTATTAATACATAACTACTTCAATGAAATTTATCTTTCTACTTTTTAAAGTATGTATATACCTCTAAATTATTTTTTTACATGATAAGGTAATCCTTTAAAAAAATTATTTCTGTCTGTAGACACATATTTTATTCGAATATCTTCGGAAGACTTTCCAGAAGTAATGCAACTTTTCCTGATAGATAGATTTTAAGCTAGCTTAAGCTAAGCTGCATTAAGCTAATAAGATAAAATTGTTGGGAAAAAGAAAACTTTTATTTGTAAATTAACGAGTATGAAATAATATGGATTTTACTTAGGGAATTATATAACAAAGCTTCAACTATAAAAAAACAATGAAAAGTTTGGTATATTAGAATATAGTTATTACATAAATAGGCTATTTTCTTTGTAATTATTGTAATACAGTAAAAGCTCCTTATTCGCACTTCCTTTATTCGCGTTTTCACTATTCGTGGATTAAAAAAATGCTACCAATTCCTATATTCGCGACTAAAAATTTCTTTATTCGCGGATCTAATAAGTACATACATAATAATAAAATTATTCCAAATAGGTATCCAACACAATATCCTTGTCAAATGGACTAATTAAAAAGTAATATAGATCTTATTACAACTTTACCTAATTACTTTGCGATTTCTTTATGAACATTGATCCGTTTATGGAACGAAGTCTTATTTTTAAGAGGCAAATTGCTAATGCGACTGCTGTGTATCAGTCTGAATTGAAGGAGCTTTTAAAAACTGCCAAGAAAGAAAAAATTACAAAATTCTTCAAACCATTGCCTAAGCCTTAAGATAATTAATTATAATGATCAAATACTTCAATTAAATATTTTTTTATATAAATTTGTTGTTTTTTTTTGTCACCTAGGAACGTATCCCCTATAATCCCATATAAATAACCATTCCGTATTCACGGTTTCTGTATTCGCGGTATATTTACGGAACATATACCCCGCGAATAAGGAGCTTTTACTGTACTTTATAAATATTAATTGATTTTTAAATTAAATGCAGTCAGAATCTCAGAGCAGACGGATTACAACGACATCTGTTGACATCAAAGGGAACATGGGGTCAATATTGAAGATTATGTGAGTCATATTCATTTCATATAATCTGTTCATACTTATAAATTACCAGCACTTAATTTTAACCATAAACGTAAGCGGTGGTAATAAAAAAGTTTTAATTTTTACAGTTTTAATTTGTTCGTAGATAACTTGAAATACTTATTTAATGAATTTATGGAATTTGAAAAATATTTCATAATACCTGGAACTGGTAATTTAATTCATAAGTCTGGAATTTGGTTCGAAATTCGAATAAATAATTCGAATTTCGAATTTTTATCTACGTTCTTTGATAATGCAGCCAAAAAGATATTTTTTCTTCATACATAGATAATTGTTACGAATAATTTAATTCATTCCATATATATTTTACTAAAAAACAATGTATTGTCTAAAAAGTAGATAGTTTATGGCTAGTTATACATGATATTTGGTTCTAGGACTTCGTCAACTCCGAAACCTACTGCAAAAGCCACATTACTTGGGGCGAGGGATTCAATGGAAATAGCTTCAACCACGCGATTGGTGAGTTGTTACTACAAAAAAAATACACAAAAACTAATAATTTGATTGTTTTTTTCTATGTCACTTGACAGATATTTAAATTTGTCAATCTTATGAGTTTTTTGTTTATGAATCGATATAGTTTTTTTTTTGCTTGGCTTCTTATGACGTCACCAAAATTGACAATTCTAAAGAAAATTTTTTTGTTTTCCTAATTAATAACTGTAATTTTTGTAGCGTGAAAAACACAGATCAACAGTGGACCACGGCAAGGTCGTATTGAACATTGGAAACAAAATTGTACGTATATGTTTATAATATTAATTAGTTGATTTATTTATGTAAGCAATAGTTTATAAATTAACAAGTTAATAAAAAATGCTTGTGCGTTCTACCTCTGCATGGAAGAAGCGAAACTTCGTAATTTTGGAATAAAAACAGGGAGGGGTAGAAATTGATTTTTATGGAATATTTAATATTTCCTGAAACAAACTTTAATAAAAACATTTATTCCCTCTCGCACTGTCTTTTTTTATCTTTCCCACCAGCGTTAAACGTTTAACGCAACCATGTTGAAAGTTGCATAAGAAATCTCACTTCCATTAAAAGTACATATGTATATAACAATATGGTTCAATTCAATTTGTATTTTCATTGAATACAGGATTCATTCTTTAATAAAATAGAAGATGATGATGAAGAAGAAGATAAAAATCGTGAACAAACTGAACGTGTTACTCAGTGAGTAAATAAAATGATTTTTATTTCCTAAAACGTGTTTAAATATGTTTGCATGTCATTTTTTGCTTTAATATGAAAACTTTATTGTTTTATTTCATTATGTATTGCTCACTATTATTTCTTCTTCTACCTGGCAATTTGCCAGCTTTAGCCAGGGTCTGCCTTACATGTTAAGAATAGTTTTGGCTAATTGTTTTTACGACCGGCCGCTTGCCAGACATCAACTCTCTTTGGGAATGCAATAATCAGTGATGTCTAAATAATCTTAGAAAGTATGTACTATGAATCGGAAAAATCACATTGGTACTTGCCAGGATCGAACCCGCGCCCTCATGCATGAGAGGCGGGCCCTTTAACCACTAGGCCACCACTGTCTTCACTCACTTTGCTCAGTATTATTTATTACGTAATAATTATTTGTGTCACAAAATATTATCTATGCTTGAAAATTTGTTTAGTCAAAGAAAAAACTTATTTACGCTAGCACTTTCTATGCTAGCATATATGGTTAATACTAGAAACTGTCTGTTTGTAAGTAAACTGATGGTAAGGTTAATGTTTTTATTATTCAGAGTACCAGGACCACAGAAGTCTACTGGAGGTGATATTGATGACGTTGAAAGTGATGAAGAGTCTGTTTCTAATCTCGGGTGATTATTCTCTCTCTTTCTCTCTAATTATTTCTCGTATCTTCTATCTCACTTTTAAAATTATGAGTATTACTGATAATTTAAATCTCTTTTAGATTATATTGTACTAGATACAATGTTTTTAACGTGGTTTTGGCTATATAATATGTACCTATGCATAGTTTTATAGCTCTATTTTCTGTTGATTATTAGACTTTTTTTCTAAAATTTGTATAGTTGTAACTTGGTAGACATTTAAATATATGTAGGTACGTAAAGATATGTATTGAAATTTTATTAGGTAAAGCTCACAAACATCGATGAAATATAATTTAAGATTCACGATATATAAATCAAAGAGTTTTATTAACATTGGTTTAATTGAACAAAATATATTAGGATTAAATAAAAATCAAATTATTTTGATTCCTTCATACATGTAACAGTAGTTAATTTACCTGTCAAATATCTGTCAACATTTATGACGTCATTTCCAGGAGCCTCCACCACGACAGCCTACAAATAATACAATCCCACGTAAAAGATCACGACTCCAAAATTAATTATGAAAAAGTAAGTCAATAGTAAACAAGTTAAAGTAATCTATAAACAAAGATGTCGTCTTAATGATCAGGTTTGCTGCAAAGTAACCGAAACGTCGTTAGTATGTAGTTTAAATAATAAAATACGCGTAATAATATGTCAAAAATTTAATGAGCATCGCCGGGGTAAAATCGTTGTATGGATAAAATATATAACGAGTGAGTGTTGACTCCGCAAAACGAACACCAAGCCGTGTGAACCAGAAGATTCCTGATACACACAAGCTATGGAATGGTATTGCTATCATAACATCGGGACAATCATGTAGTCTTATATAGGTTATAAGTTTTATTATGTAATTCTTATTATTACATATAAGTAAGTTTCCTAGGTTTCCTGGAACCTCTGGTTGATATCATACATAATTAAGACGATAATAATTACATTTAAATGAATACTCGCGAAAATAGATCTTATTATAAACAAGGATTTTGTATCTTCTTCTCTTCTTCCTGGCAATTTTCCAGCCTTAGCCAGGGTCTGCCTTACATGTTAAGAATAGTTTTGTCTAATTGTTTTACGACCGGCCGCCTGCCTGACATCAACCCTCTTTGGGAATACATAACTAATATTAAACCATACTATATAAATTAATCTTTTTCTTCAAGATATGTCCAATGGAGAAATGTCAGAGGATACAAGTTGATTCGTTCATTCGTAGCCTACCGAAGTACATGCAAGCGAATCCATTCACTCACTTCGAACAGACCTACGAGGATTATGAAGCTTGTTCACCCGGTCAGTACTCACTCATCATACACCTGATTTATCATCCCTACTAATATTATAAATGCGTAAGTAACTCTGTCTGTCTGTCTGTTACGCTTTCACGCCTAAACCACTGAACTGATTTTAATGAAATTTAGTACAGAGATAGAGTCGACCTTGAGAAAGAACATAGGATAGTTTTTATCCCAGACTTTTGAAAGGTTCTCTTGGAAACGCGATATAACCGAAATCCACGCGGCCGAAGCTGAAGGCGGAAAGCTAGTTCATAATAAATATTCACTCAATATTCAGCAACTCACTTATTTTCAGTGTTTTATATTATATGTACAATTCAAATGACGCATTTGTAATAACTGTATTTCTTATGTATGTATTTAGTTTAATGAATTCGTGTGCATAAAACAGGCTAAAGTCTTTTTCATATACATACAATATTAATACTTTTTAAGTCCTTAAAATTACAAATTCTTTGGACATACGTAGAATTCTATAGACGAATCGCAAACACTTTTCTTTAACATAAAAATGTTTGAAACATTTAAGAACAACTTGAGATTCTAAAGAAGAGGATAGAGGATAAAAAAAAGAGGGAAAAGTTGGAATTCCAACTGGAAACTGATCCTCTTTTATCATGGACGCCGAGCGTCGAAGGTGTTGAAGTACAGACATCAGATATATCACTAATGCCGCCATGCACTTGTATCGTACCGAGTCCTTCACTCGCATCCAGTACTACAAAGGTGTATAACGGTAAGAATATCCATAGAAATTGTATAATAAATACTATTTTTTACATTAAAGGAATTTCGACCTTGAATTAAATGAATTAAGGATTAAATTTCAATGAAACATAGACCAGAACCAGTTGGTTTAACAAATATACCATTGTAATTTGGCACATGTTAGTGAATTTTTGGTTATTCTACGATGATTGTATGTTGTTTAAAATTGACAATAGTGCAGGGTATTTTATTTGTATATTGGAACTAGTGAAAAAGAACTTTAAATGAAAATAAAACATTTATTCGTTCCTATATTAAACTTAGACTACATCAAAATACGCATGTAATATAAATTTAGATTTTACATATAAGTTTTGGAGCATTAATGAATTTGTATTTAAATAATATTTCTATCTACCAGTCTTTACAAAAACACTTAAAAATATAAGTTCACTTCCAATTAAATCAAATAAAAAAGTACTTAAACGTTTTCTTCCAATTATCCTTATGTTTACAGTTGCTGATTTGATTCCGATAAAACAAACCCTGGATAAAATCAAGGCTGAATGTTTCTTCCACGACGACATAGAGTTTAATAGATTCAAAGTACTCGGACAAAACGAGAGCGAGGATCATTTGTACGTTATTTTCTTAATAATAGTTTAATATCAACGCTATAAAAGACTTGGGCCTGTCCAGAACTTACATTAATTCATTCTTGGAACGTACTTCTAAGGCAGAACTAGTAGGTTTTTTTCAAAGGTAGAGAGAGGAGCTTGTACGGTGGAGGTGAACGTTTAACGTTAGATAGGGTCCTTTAAACCTACACCTGGGTCGCAAGTCACAGTCACTGTTGAAGCTCCTCTCACTACAACGATGGACCCGACACACGCATATAATGATGAGAAGTTTAGTCTCATTATTGATACAAACGATAATGGAACGTAGTTTCTTTTGTTAAAAAAATCTCATCATTTATAAGGAATTAATGATTTTATTTTTTATTTTTACAGGGATTTTGACGGAGATATAGAACCAAGCAAGAACAGATTAAGCGAAATCAAAACAATACTGAAAAAACATCCGAGTCTCTGCGAAATATTTCAAGCCAACACAAGATGTTAAGATCATTTAATAATGGATATGAATGAAATTTCCTTTAAAAACAAAACTTTCAAGACCCATCTACTTCCTATATAAATTTTCAAGCAAATGTAAACTTTAATAATAAATATATAACAGTTTTAAACACCTTTATTTCTAAATAATAAATAACAATACTACATATAAACTATTAGAAAACATTAAAATGTTTACAACCTAAATAACAAAGATTTAATCATCAAATATAAACAAACATACAATTTCAATTCATATCACAGTAATACTAGGACAGCAAAAAACTAGGAAGTGTCTTGTAAATGTACAGCATCACATATATCTTGAACTTCTTGCCTAATGCTATTTTCTATCGTGATAAATTCTTGCACGCTCGGAGGCATATGCAGGTCATCAGTTATTTCAATTTCCTTGAAAACATCAGACTTGATTCTATCCACATCAATCTTCTCCTCAGAATTCTGATGCTTGAAATCAACATCAGTAATGCTCGGTTTGGATTTGCATTTAGGGATATCTGGTTTGGGTATCGGAATTTTGCTGTCTTCCTTGGAAATCCTGCTTAATTCTTGATTTGGTTGTTTGTTAGATTCAATGGATACTTTACTGGTAGATTCTAGAGATTTTGATGAACCGGTCTTACTGGGAACAGGTATCAGGTCAATAATTTTGGGTGTCGGTGGTTCAGGTTCGAAAGGAACGGCTAAACTATTCTGAAGAGCTTCAACCTCTTTACGCTTTGTCTGTTTTCGTTCTAATTGTTTCTGCAATTCTTCTATTCTCTCTTCTTTTAAATTCAGTAGCTTGTCCAAGTGTTCCACCTGAAATAAATAAGCTGTTATTGATCCTTTCAACATTTTGCAAATAAGGGACATAAATCTACGTTAAGCGATCTCATTTTTATGCTGTAGGGAATTATGTTTTTGCAATTGTCTCTAGTTTGAGTGAAGTGAAATCAAATCAATTACCTTTTGTTTCAGAGTTTCTACAGTTTCCTTTGCATCTTTTAGTTCTTCTTTAAGTGTTAGATGTGTTTCGTAGTGAACAACTTTCTGTTGAATCGTTTCTAAAACTCCATTCACTCTTGTCTTTACGGGAACTACTAATACATGTTCTGCTAACATAAATGAATAATATTATTACATATAGAGACTTGTAAAGATTTATGGATAGACGGAAGGAAAATTTTCTTGTTATGCATGGATAAATAAAAACTAGGATTACATATTATAATTTATCTTTAAACCAAATATACAAGTCTTAACGGACGAATTTATCAGTCAAGAAGTTAATGTAACTACATTATTTAATCCTAAATAGAAAAACTATATTAAACCTAAAAAAAATTAGTGAACTTCTGACATTTATCCCATTATTAAGGCATGATAATTAATATTGAAATACTATCTGACAAAAATTAAAACAATTCTTTATTGAGGTATAGAACGGATGCTATACTCTATACCCCACAAAAAATTCAAAAATTTGTAGACTATAATAATAATATATGTGATTATGCTGTATTATCTTTTAAAGTATGAATAATCACTCAACTTACCCTCATCCCCACAAGCCTCGTAATAACTGCCGCCGCTAGAAACATTTTGTTCAGACTCTTTCAGAGATCGATTGGCGTCTTCATCACGACGGATTTTATCTCTTACTAAAATGTAAACAATATACTGATATTATATATCGCCTACCTTCTTCTACCTGGCAATTTCCCAGCTTTAAGCCAGGGTCTGCCTGTATATTGCCTATATGACTATGAATACATTTAATCAGTCCAAAAAAACAGTCTATTTAATAATGAAAACAATAAAACATTATGATCAAAGAATATACAGTTTTTGGGATTAGAAATAGGAATATAATGCAATAACTCCTTACAACGTTGCTTTTAGCAGATCGTCTAATTCTTTGTGTTAGGTATATATACAAATAAATGAAAGTAATATTCTCGGATCACTTGCAGACGTCATCGTAAGGAGCTAATAATCCGAAAATATTAGTTTCATTTAAATGAGACTAGCAAAAGTCTATTTTTTAATCTTATTCTCAATCTCAACAAGTTTTTTACAAGAAATAAAGCACGCGTAGTACATATATCCGAAAAATATTGGTTTCATTTAAATGAATGCTCGCGAAAGTTTTAAATCTCATCATTTACTTAGAGTAGTTCAACTAAATAACACTTCATTTTTGTAATCGAAATGAATTCATTACTGTTGTGAAATGAAATAAAATTTTCCTTTTCAAATATAAAACAAAAAATTCTTCATCTTTTAATCACCAAACGAAATGTTATATAAAAGCCTTCTGGTGGCGAAACGGAGTTCGCCGGGTTTACTAGTTATTTATATAAATACATATATTTCTTTTATTGCTCACCCATAACCAAAACCCGTTCGATCACTCCAGGAGCGCAGTTCGCGAGCTGTTCCATGGTATTGCTGCACAGGTTCAAACGAAGCTTTTTTAATACTTTTCTATTCAGAGTCATCCAGTTGTTCAATTTAAGGGAGTGACTATTTCTTGGTGGGTAGTTGTGCATCTCCACAAGCTTGGGATAATGTACGCTTAGGATTTCCGCTAGAAGCACTAAAATGGAAATAAATAAACGTATATAAAGGTCTATTTTGATTTTGTTACACTAGATTTTGCTCGCGATTTCGTCTGTGTTAGTTTCAGGATTAGAAATGTATAGTTAGATGAATTCTATTCCTCATTAAAGACAGTAGATAAGATTTTGGATTTGATCTACTTATTTTTTTTTATTTTTCAATCGCACCAAAGTATCCTACCATACCTACAAATCTTCAACCATATCCCTACAGCCGTTCTTGAGTTATAAATAGTGTAACTAACACGATTTTATTTTGTATATTTATAAGAATCAAAATTGCTGCTTTAATTGGATAGATTGTTAGTAAAAGATTTGTCGAAGAAGTAGAAGATGCTCTATTTAAGATGTTTTGATGTCATCGCAGATCCTTACCAGCGTCAGAAAAGTCTCTGTTTATTTTCTTGGTAGGTCTTGATAGTTTGAATGTGTCGACCCAGGCAAGAACAGTTTCAATATCAGAAAGTGGTATCGGTGAGTCGTAGGCAGACATTTTGTTATCTTTATTTATGTATGTTTAACAATATTAATTTTGCATGTTTGCCATATGAGAATGACATTGTTTATTTTTTTATATAAACGGCCAATAAGAATTTATATTCTAAAAAGGAAATTCAAAGTTGTCAATGAGGCGGTTATTTAATGAGGTCTTGGAAAAAATATAGATAGGTACATATATGTATACACTGAATACCTAAATTTTTATATTTAATTAAATGAGAGAACCAAAGGAGGTATAATATTATAAGCAAATGGTTTATAAAACGTAACCAGGTATGTATTTTTTAAATATTCCTAACAATATTTTCATCTCTTCCATTTATCTGTGATATATGTGATTTTTTTACGTAAATATAATCTTTCTAAGTGACTCCCCTTAAAGGTGTATAAATAGGGACTGCAATTTCAATCCCGTTTTTCTCTCTTTTGTAATTTCGTCTCTTTTTTCGAGGTCTCTCTCGAAAAATATAATCACGAAATTTCGGCCGAGATTGAAGATAATCACAATCACGCCTAGTTTAGGCTCGTAAAATAGTAATTTTTATAAAATTTTAGCGAAATATTATTTTTATCTAATTAATTTCATTCTTTACAAGATATTTTATGATTCAAATTTTGTGTTCTAAATGAAAATTTAAAGAAAAACAACTTTATACTTACAACTCAATTTATAGTTTATTACGAGATTACTAATACAAGTATTCATTTAAATAAAACTAATATTTAAATGTTGATATTTTGTACAAACAGAGAAATATTCTCAATTGGTAATTAATTTTATTTCATATGTTTTTGTTTTATTTGCATAGTTACCACGAGTAAAAATTTGGCATAATTTTGCTGTTATCTATTAATAAAAATACTTTTCGAAATTCATTCGAGATTACTCCAGGAAATAATCTCTTATTCCTCGAGATCTCCACATAATGATCTCATTTCGAGATTTCTTAACCTACGCATAAAGTTATAAACACTAAAAATATATATATCCAGTACACGTTTTCCTTCCATGTTCCACAAAGTTAAAAAATAATAATAAAAATAAACAGTTAAATATCAAACCACATCTTCAAAATACCATTTTTGATCAAATGATTTATTCCCATATATTTAACATTAAACATGATACAATGCCTATATAATAATTTTTTATAGCTAGTTATGTTAATATTTGATTTATACAAAATTCTATAAATAAATAAGTTTCTATAAATATAATCTGTAAATATACAAGATCATTAATATACATTAGCGTCCAACCTTTGACTTCATTATAATATATTACCATAAAAAACTTTCCCTATTAATGAAATATCTATTCATGTAGTTTTCCTAATTTTTGGCATATTTTTAGATAAAATAATTCTTTAGTTATTGACTTAAACGAAACGTTTTTACTCGTGGTTTCGTTTGGGTTATAAAATTATAAAATTTTAATTCTCATATTTTTAATAATATATCATTTTATGAATAACTATACAAGATTAGATTTTTATTGAAATTGTTGATTGTTTTATATCAGTAGCGTTTGTTTTCCAGTGTTTAAGAATTTATTTTAGGAAAAATATTATTTTCTATTAATTAAAACATTACATAATGTGTTTTGTTTACGATTGAATGTATGTTTGATTTGTTAGATTATCTTATTTATAAAAATCCCACAGATATTCCCATTAGATTACAAATTATATAAATATAAGCATAAGAAATGTTCAGCATTTTTTTAAACTTTCAATCGTCAATGAGTTTCGCGTGTCATTGTATGATCCATACCATTATATACTACAATTCAAATAAAATAAAGTAACTTACCAACACAAAGAAATTCCTTCATTTAAAAATATTTTGTGTATAAAATCAAATTACTTGTGATTTTACAAGACACTAGAATTCTTTTAAGTATAACAATTGCCTGGCACTAATGTATCCTGTTGCTATTTTTAACAAGAGTTGGAGTATCTAAAGTAATAGTTAATAAATAACTTAATATTTAACATAATCATCGGAACTTAATAGTTTTTTTTATAAATCATCTTACGTAATTCTCTCACCTACAAATTAATAATTATGGTAGAGAAATATTCAGATTCCACTTTAATAAAGACTAAAACTCACACTTTGCAATCTTTTCTATCGCTTATTCTACATCAGCAATTCTAGATTTTTATCGTTGAATTCAATACAAAACGATAATCAAGCTTAATATTAAGACTATTTGAAAATACAGAAGAGGGGAATTTATTGTTAAGTTATCTAAAGAGGCCAACCCTATAACGCCTTCGCATTTATTTCGTGTTGGCCACGCAACATCAAGCCCGCATTAAGCTCGGGAAATCTATGTTAGTAAAAAACTTAATCCCACTTTAATATAAGGATAATCAAATACTCGGAAATGGTAATAATTTTACATTTCTATGTATTTCGTATTTTAACGGTGACCCTTGTCCCTACTACAAGTTTTCATCTTCCATAAAACGGGCAGTTGTCAGTTTTAGAGGGAAACTTATTATGCAACTTTCAACAAGGTTGCGTTAAACGTTTAACGCTCCTGGGGTGGGGGTATAAAAAGAGACATGCGAAAGGGAATGCGTGGCAATCAATTGTGACTTGTAAGCAATGTTAATAAAGTTTTTTTTTTAAAAACACTTAATATTCCCTAAAAATCAATTTCTATCGTTTCCTATTTTCATTCAAACATAACGAAGATTCAATTATTCCGCTCAGAAAGATTCCAAGTACATATTATTTTTTAAATTGATATACTTAAATAAAGTGCTACAAATGAATCATTTTAATTTGCGCCAGTAAGCGACTTTCGTGTTTTACGTAATATGTATATTAATACAGAAACTGCAAAACTGCATTCCCATAGTCACTATGTATATGTGTGTGTGTGTGTGTGTGTGTGTGTATGTATGTTTGTATGTCATTTAACAAAGAACCTGTTCATAACTCTGAGCTAGAAAGCCTTTCGTGAAACTGTTATGTTAAATGAATAACATCTCAGCATCTCCAGATAAACTGTTGATTATAAAATACTAGCTTTCCGCCCGCAGCTTCGCCCGCGTGGAGTTCGATTATATCTCGTTTCCAAGAGAACTTTTCAAAAGTCTGGGATAAAAACTATCCTATGTTCTTTCTCAATGTCAACTCTATCTCTGTACCAAATTTCATTAAAATCAGTTCAGTGCTTTAGGCGTGAAAGCATAACAGACAGACAGACAGACAGAGTTACTTTCGCATTTATAATATAGGTGGGAATATACAATTTTCATTATTTTTTTATATTTATATGTATTCAACCTGCGGTTTTGCAGTGTTAAATTTATTTCTAGACACATACATTGTAACAAATAGGCTATTTCATAGATATTCAAAAACAAATATACAAATTGTATCATTTAAATAAAAGGACGTGGTGGCCTGGAGGTTAAACGACGGCCTTTCATCCATCGATCCAACCCGTTGATCAAGCGTGGTGATTAATACTCTAACCTTCTCCATGTGAGAAAGACACTCAGCAGTGGGCTCTGATAGGATGATGATGATGACGATGCTGATCATATTTCATTAAGTATTGCACCTTACAGCTAAAGTTTTAAATAAATTAACTAAACAAGTATACAAGATCTTACTATTTTATACAAACATTGATCGAAGTGTGACGCAAATTCTCTTTTACGTACTATAAAAACAATACTAATAAATCAAAATTAATCAACAAATTATTCAATACTATCATAATAATATAACAATATTGAAACTGGAAACAAAACTATTATCTACATTCATATATCTTTACACAAATCGTCTGTCCATTAATAAATAATGTTTAGATTTTCAAATTGATTGCAATATGAGGCATTATAAATGGAAGAAAAGCGGGAAAGTTATTGTCAGCTGTCAAAATAATGACAGCATCACAAATAGTAATAGATTAAACTTATATTTGAATAAAGGCACAGATTAATATAAATTTTAAATGTGAAAGTTTATTGGATTCCGGTACTTTGGCATTGAATTTGGTAAAAGGGCGCGGTTTAAATACATAAATATATACATATATATCGGCGCTATCAGCTTTAATAACGGATGCGACTTGAAAATAATTTGAGACTGTCATCAATTCTTATTAAAACTCATTAGTATTCATGATTATTGTTAAACGTAAAACGAAATCAAAGATTGTTTAAAAGGAGAATAGAACTATGTTTAAATCTTGGTATAAATATGACGTCTGGACGCACGACAGCAGAGTTGAGTTTCGTGAGTGCGTATCATTGAAGTATGTGATTATGAAGAACCTTCGAGAAATACAGGAACATTAAGAACAATTGAAGTTTCATTTTAAAATATCATGGAACGTGCTAGAAGAAGTGACATTAGTAACGTCAGAGAGGCTGGCGTCTCTCTCTTTTAAAACAACGAATGTGTAATAAATCCGATATATATAACTACATATATGGTTATCATTTAATAGTACTTATACACGATTTTGCATAGACTTTACGTTGTAGGTACAAGAGTAATTTATGACTTCATACTATCAGTGAATCCCCGTGCGGTAGCGCATATATTAATTCTTATTTTATTATGTCCTACGTACATATATAAGTATATTAAATACTAATTAATTCAAAAATTATGGTTTTTTTTTACAGTATTGAAAACCTTCAAGTCTTCCAGAGTACATTCTGCTTTGTTCATTCTGCCAATAGATAAATTGTCAAAGGAGATTGGCTGTATCTATTATTTGAACCTTTTTACTGATTTAGAACTAATATGTTTATTATATGAATGATGAATGAACGATTTGACGGATAAATTAATATTTAATAGAGTAATCATTTATACACATATATTCATAAAATAAAGAACAAATAAAACACATTTTTATTCACTCTGAAGTCTGAACCTTTATTATACTTAATCACATATTATCAAATATTTTCTTATTTAAAATAGTATAGGTACTTTATTTTCGTACTATTA